CTTGTTTATCTTCAAGCCTTTAAGACCCCAGACGCTATATCTTTTGATAGCAGGGCAACATTAGCTCTCTTCACCACATTTGCTTATGCACACGTTTGTCTTCAGTGACCGTGTCAGTAAAACGGGCACCCACTGATATGTTTTTCAGTTCTTTGATGTCTGATAACATCCCTTCTACACCTCGTGGTCACATAGGCTGGTGTGCTTCCTTCACGTGGGCCTCGATGCTTCTCAGCTAGATGGCCGCTTGTTTGTCTTCAAGCCTTTAAGACCCCAGACGTTATATCTTTTGGTAGCCAGGCACCATCAGCCTTCTTCACCACATTTATTTATGTTCACATTTTTCTTTCGCAATCATGTCGGGAAGGTGTGCATCCTGGAATGCCAATTTAATAGAACAACGTGCTCTTGCAATGAGTAAGTGCTTGAGTGGAGGCCCAATGTCCATCTGCTGCCCTAATACTAAACCTATAAATATATGCACGTAGATCTGTTTCCCCACACTCTTATATAAATATATTTACATATGTACATTCCAGTCTTAAAACCTCCATAAATACCCTTTGTCCCCTACTTCTTTCCTCTATTTCCTTTAACTTTCCTCTTGTCCCACTATCATGCTCAGCCTTCATTTGGGTTTCAGTAATTTCTCTCGGTTACATTGCCCTTGTTGAATCCCTACCAGGCCTCTCACACCCTCCTCACCACTGATTTTGGATCACTTGTTGCTCCCTTGTCCCTGGGTTGATCAGCACCACCTTCTTACCCCCGCCTCCCCCTCTCCCATGTACCCCCGGAACTGTTGGTCCCATTGTTTTCTCCTCCAGACTGTTCATCCAGTCTATCTTATCTAGATAGAGCTGTAGAAATAATAATATAACAATGCAACTTATTTTGGATCTTGTCAAGCACATCACTACTATAATCTCCTATTCTGTTATATTGTCTCAGATCTTTCTTATAATTATTCTTACAGTTGTTCTTAATCTCATGTCTGAAAATAAATTCTATGATGGCAGCAACCAAAAAATGAGTCAGAAACATTGTGTATTTGTCCCAAATGCCAATGAAAGAATAATAACATCAGTGATCCAGAAGATTGAGAGGATGTTTTTGAAACAAGTAAAGGCTAGTTTAGTCTGCAGTCTCCAGGATGGGGTCACCATGAATCCCCCTAAGACCCCACACTGACTTTCCAGGCAGTCTGAATAGAGTGAGATGAGGCGTGGAGACCCCCTTTACTTTTGTTTTAAGTCACTACGTTTTGGAGTAATTTGGTGTTTAGTAATAAAACAGTAAACCAAACCAGTTGCCATTGAGTCATTTCCAACTGAATGACCCCAAATGTGTCACAGTAGAACTGTGCTCTGTTAGGTTTTCAGTGGCTGATTTTTGGGGAAGTTGGCCACTTCCCAAAGGTGTTCAGGGTAGATTTGAACTTCCAGTTAGCAGCTGAGAGTATTAATGGTTTGCATCACTCACTGATTCTTATGCAGTGATAATAAAAATACAACTCCCTTTCCAAGAAAAACTTATTTCTGATCTCCATATTATTTATGTTACCTATGTATAAACAGGATACTCGTGTTTATAAAGTTTATGCAATGATTAAACCAAACAGATTGACAAATTAAATACACTAGACAGTATCCTTTTTAAAAATAAATCATTTTATTGGGGGGTCATATATCTCTTATCACAATCTATCCATCCATCCATTGTGTCAAGCACATTTGTACATATGTTGCCATCATTTTCAAAGCATTTTCTTTCTACTTGAGCCCTTGTTATCATCTCATTTTTTCCCTTCCCACCCTCTCCCTCCCTCATGAACCCTTGATAATTATTAATCATTATTATTTTTCATGTCTTGCACTGTCCAATGTCTCCCTTTACCCCCTTGTCTGTTGTCCATCCACCTGTAAGGGGGTTATAGGTAGGTCATTGTGATCGGTTCCCCCTTTCTATTCTCAATATTGGTCCTGAGGAGTTTATCTGTCCTGGATTCCCTGTGTTTCCAGTTCTTATCTGTACCCATGTGCATGCTCTGTTCTAGCCAGATTTGTAAGGTGGAATTACGGTCATGTTAGTGAGGGGCAGGGGGGTGGGTGGGGGAAGAAGCATTAAAGAACCAGAGGAAGGCTGTATGTTTCATCGGTGCTATACTGCGCCCTGACTGGCTCATCTTCTCTCCACGACCCTTCTGTAAGGGCATGCCAATTGCCTACAGATTGGCTTTGGGCTTCCACTCTGCAAATAGCCAATATTTCAAACCAAATAGAAAGCAATTTTAATAGCAGATTGTTTTACTGGAACCAAATGGCCTCTCAATGAGATTATTGAAAAGGCCATTCCTAGAATGTTCAGGTACTTGAATAAATGATCTTTTTTCTTTAGGCCTATATGAGATGGATTGTCTATGGCTTCCACCTTCCATTAAAAACACTGTACTACTCATTTGCACCCTTTCTCACATCTTCGCCTCTACCTCACATTACTATCTCTTCGCCCACGGCCTCACCCGTGGAAATTTGCTTTTGACAGAACTCATGCCAGGTAGGTTCCTAGTTCCTAGGAGCACTGCGGTAGTCCTTCTCAAGTGCCGCAGAGCCCACCTTCTATCAATTCTTCTCTCAATTCCGTCCTTGTGAGGTACTTATACTCTCAGCCTGGAAGTCCCTGCCCGTGTACTTTTTACCCATCTCTGTGGTACTACGCAAGTTTGATCCCCTGGATCAAACTCTGTCTCACAGACTCCAAATTCTTAGAGGGAACCTGGGAAAGAGCCAGTTGCAAACTGCATTCCAAGACTTGATTGACTGCTGAATGGAAGAGCACTGCCCGGGCCTCTCTTGGGACCAGAGACGTTAGCGAAGCGCTATCGTCTACCGAATGGAAGCGAGCCAGCATTCTGCGTACGCTCTGCGTGCTTTTTAAAAAGGAGTCACTCAGATCGACTGAAATCTGAAGCAACCGGAAACCTTCCCCTCAGCTGTCTTGCCCTTCCCTAGATGGACTCGGGCGACCAGCAAGCAGCAGGGCGTAAACGCTTACCCCGCCCCCCTGCCAGGGGTGGGAGCAGAGAGAAGCGCGCATGCTCGGTGAGGGACTTCTCGCTTCGCCTCAGCAGTCGACTGCCGAGTGACTGAGCGAGTGGCGTGGGGTAGTGGGAAATGTAGTCTCCAGGCTTCCGGATCACTGGTGCGCCCCCTGCCTGTGCCCAAAGCAGGACTTCAGCTCCCGGCCGGCCGGCCGGCCAGCGGGAGAAGGAGCGTGGGAGAAGGGCGTGGGCCCAGGCGGAGCGAGCGCCGTGGGCAGGGCTAGTGGGAAGGCCGCGGGGAGGGGGCGGAGCTTCGCCCGGCCGAGCCCTCGCTCCCCGCGGTTTGGGAACCTGAGGGACCCGCGTGGAGAGCCGCGACGAGCGTCGTGTCGCGGGGCGCCTGGCCTTGAGGAGCGCCGAGTCGTTCGGGGCGTCGACTGTCGGGCACCTCTTGCCCCTTCTAAGTCCCCTCCCTCTTCGCCGGAACGCGGGAGAGCCCGGTGCGCGGCGGGGGCGAGACGAGGCGCCGGCGGGGGCGGCCAATGCGAAACTGGCTGGTGCTGCTGTGCCCGTGCGTGCTCGGGGCCGCGCTGCACCTCTGGCTGCGGCTGCGCTCCCCGCAGCCCGTCCGCACCCCGGGGGCGGGCCCAGCAGGTGAGGTCCAGGGCCAGGTGGAGGGAGGCCTGGGGTTTGGGGGGTCAAGGTGGCCCGACTGCACGCCCACCGTCGCTCGTGGCTCCCTGCGATGGAACGGCGCCCTGAATTGCTGCAGGAGGCGGAAGGGCTAGGCTCAAGAGGTCCCTGGACGAACAAGTGATTTTCCATCTCGGAAGCACTGAAATCAGTCGAACTTGAAGGCGTTTGTCTCTTCGTCTCCCCACCGCTCTTCGGCGCTCCACTTTCCTCTTCACCCACAGGACCAATGTCGTGACTGCAGGTCCTTCGCTTGTACCTGGCCTGGTCGCAGTGGTCCTGGCTCCCTGCCACTCGCTCCGGAAGGAACCTCGTGTGTCCTTCAACCAGCGACTGCTTTGTCAGCTCACGTGCACGCCCTGTCTTTGACTACTAGCCAGGTGGTTGGTTGGTTTCCCCGCTCCAAGTTGTTGTCTTATTTGGTCAGGATTTTGTGGTCTTGGTGACATCGAGAATGTCTGTGTATTTTTAAAGTTCCCTGGATTTTGCTTCGAAGGAATAACTTTGCCCTAAAAATACTCTATTTTGTATGTTGTGAGAATCAGTTGAACAAGTCCGGATATAAAATAGGACATGACTGAGAGTAAAGTTATTCCTGAGGAGCGGTTTGCGTAGCCTGCGAATGAGCCTACACGAAAATAGCAAACTCTTTCGCGATCCCATCTATTTGCTCTAAAATTGCTCCTGTTTGCTTCTTAGCCTAATAGAAAAATACATCGCCAGAGTAGGTACCCAATGGATAAAATAAAAGAAATTTAGTGGACTTGACCACTCTGTACTTTTACTTTCTTTAACTGCATGGGAAGTTTTTCCTTCCTGCTTCTCAAAATCATTGAATGTTTGCAATGCAACATATGGCTCTATACATAATTTAGTATTCTGCAATTCTCAAAACAATCTTGGCTTCTATTTTGGCAACAATCTCTTCAAACCATTTCCCATTTGACTTGAATAGAGCTCTCACCACTGTGTTAAATGATTTAATGAAAGTACAGTGTTAACATGTTAACAGGTTGGAAGTTTGTTATGTTTGTAAGCTAAGAAAAGAGTGCCATATGTTGTAATGCTTTGTAATAACATCTAAGTTTGTGTTTTATAAGGTTGTTTTTTTTAATATATGATGAGTGAACTGTAATGGAAGTGACTTGTAGAGTATCACGTATTTAATTTACGAGTTTAATAGTCCTTTGGGGTTCCATAAGGAACCCTGGTGGCATAGCCCGATCAGCATTTCAAAACCACCACGGACAGGGCTTTCTCCTCGCAAAGAACTACAATCTCAGAAATTCACGGAGACAGTTCTCCCCTGTCCAGTAGGGTTGCTGTTAAGTTGGCAGCAACTCGATGGCATTGGGTTTTGAGTTTTAGGGCTTTATAAGGCAAAAATAAAAGTCTTGCCTTGAGAGTTAAAACTTTGTAAACCTGCTAGACAATTTCTTACTTTGAGATAGCCCACCCTTAATGTATAGATGATGTACTTGTTTGCTATCTCATTAGACCAGACTGAATTAACAAAGAGGTATATATTGGAAAGGGGCAACATAATGGTGGAGAGTTGGTACCAGTTATATAAATTAACTTAGCTATTTGATAGATACTGTGCATCTGGTCACATCATAAACAGGGTATTTTAATCTAAAACAAACCTGATACACTCCTCCAACTTTCCTTTTTTACTTTGGTACATTCAGAACTAAAAATAGTAGCAGCATCTTGAGTGTTAAGTTTTTCCCTCGTTTTTCTCCCCCTTGTGCTATCATCATGTTTAAAGCTAAAATATTTGGACATTTTTATGATTTCCATTTTAAACCTCTAGAGTGAGATAAAAACCCTATTTGTATTTAGTTAAGTATTTTTTCTGTGAACTAATCTTTAAAAACTGTTTTCCCCTTTCTTCCACTTCTTTGACTATCTTTAGGCTCAGTAAGTCACAGCAGCTTTTTCTTAAAAGAGATTTACCTCCCCTAAATATTTTTTAAGGTCTTCTTTTTTTACAGTTGAATCATTTGCACAATGGATTCACAGATATTTAAGAGCCTTCTCTATGCTGACTCCTGTTTTATGAGTGGAATGCAGCAGTAATCAAGATAAAATCCTGTCTTGGTGCAGTTATGTTCCAGAAGGGAAGGCAGAACATAAAGTAAAGATAGGGAACAGTGATAAGTATGGTGATGAAAAATATGGCAGTGGATTGCTTCAAATAGGTCAGAGAAGTTCTCTCTGAAGAGGTGACAATTGAGCAGGGACCTGCATTCATTGAATAAGCCATGTTTTTTGCCAGCATTGGCAACTTTTCTAACTCAATGACTCACCTTAAACAGCTAAAGTATAGTCAGAAAGAGCGCTTTGTAAAGAAACAGATAAAAGTGTACCTCTTAGGAAATCCCGCTTCCCTGGTGATGTTAAGAAGGGATAATAGAGGAAGAGACAACCATGGGACTAGAGAATATAGACAGAAGATATCTTGATTGTAACACTGACTTTGGATAGTACTTGAACAGGAATTTTTGAACCAGTTAATTTAGAAAATTATGTGATGAAAGAAAACTTTTCTCTCTGGAGTACTTACAATGAGAAAACTTAGAAAAGAGCATATCCAGTTAACAAAATACTGCGGAGTAGAACATTGGGCAAGGAGAAGACCATAGACTTGATTCATAATTCTGCCTAGGGCTGGTTCTTAAAAAAAAATTATCTTTAATATTTTCTGTGCTTCAGTTTCTTTTGTTATAAATGATGGTTCCATAGGGTTGCTTTAAAGATTCAACTAGTAAAACATTAAAACAAACCTGATTCACAGTAAGTGCTCCTTGAATTTCAGAAACTCGTACTGAAGAGCCCTGCTGGCACTGTATGTACGTAGTTAAAGCAGCTTGATCGTTAACTAAAAAATTGGCAGTTTGAACCCATACGTGCTGCGTGGGTGAAAGATGTCATCTTCCATAAAGTGTACAGCCTTGGAGACCCAATAGGATGTTTCTGTTGTGTCCTGTAGGGTCTCTGTGATCAGGACTGATTTAATGACAGTAAGTTTGGTTTGGGGTTTAGTAATAGGGCGGTAGTAGGGTGGTGTAGTAGTTAGTGTAGTGTTTAGGGGGATAAGCACAGGAAGGAAGTAGGACAACTGAAAGAGGCAGCTTTGTACTCCTAGTACAGTTTCAAAACCCACAGTGAAACTGTACTATAGGGTCACCATGGATCGGCATCTACTCAATGGCAGTGAGTAAGTGAGTGAATACAACTGAATTATTTCTTTCCCCTTAAAGGTGTTTGTACTTGGGGAGGGTACGATGTGACAGTGTGTCATATAACTAACTTGTCAGTAGATCTGTTGATTATTTGCATGTTTTCCTCATTATAAAGATTTCTGCCTATTTGTTGTTGATGGTCATCTGAGAGCATGTGTACAGAATGGAAATTTTGGTCTGTTTTTTTTTTTTTTTAAATAATCTTTAAGGTTATTTCGAACAATGATTTTGGCACCAAACTTCCTCAGTCATTAAATAAACTTCGCTTGTCCGTTCTCAGTCCAGTGCCTAGCAGCTTGCCAGACTGTCATGATGTTGTTCCTTGGTGCCCTCTAGTCAGTTCCGATTCATAGGGACCCTATCTCTACAAAACAGAACTCAGCAGCAGTCACCGCGTCTGTCAGGCTATCTCGTCAAGGGCCTTCCTCTTTTTGCTTCTTTCTCCTTTTCCAAGCTTGATATCCTTTTCTAGCATGATTTCTCGACAGTGTGACCCAAGTACATGAGATGAAATCTGACCATCCTCACTCTTTGGAGCAATCTGGTTGTACTTCTTCCAAGACAGATTTGTTTGTCCTTGTGGAAGTCCATGGTGCTTTCAGTATTCTTCAGCAACACCATAATTTAAATACTTTTATATTTCGTCACTTTTCTTATTCTGTGTCAAACTCTTTCATGCATAGAAAGCAACTGAAAATACAATGGCTTGGGTCAGGTAGACCTTAGTCCTCAAAGGAACATCCTTGCTCTTCAACACTTTAAAGAGGTCTTGTGCAGCAGATTTGCCCACTGCAATGTGTCATCTGATTTCTTGACTGCTGTTTCCATGAGCATTGATTGTGGATGCAAGCAAAATAAAATACGTCACAACTTCAATCTTTGCTCCATTTATCATGATGTTACCTATTGGTCCAGTTGTGAGGGTTTTTGTTTTCTTTACATTGAGTTATATAATCCATACTAAAGGCTAATCCTTGATCTTCAGTCAGCAAGTGCTTTAAGTCCTCCTCACTTTCAACAAACAAGGTTCTGTCATCTACATACTACAAGTTGCAATCTGGATGGTGCCTTCTTAATATAGTCAAGCCTCTGTGATTACTTGCTCAGCATACAGATTGATTAAATATGTGAGAGGGTAAAATTCCTGGTGCACATATTTCTTGGTTTTAAACTATGCAATTTACCCTTGTCTGTTCAAACAACGGCCTTTTGATGCAGGTACAGGTTCTGCATTGGGGCCTCATACAGCTCTTATCACAATACTTACATACATCCATGTGTCAAGCACATTTATACATTTGTCGCCATCATCATTTTCAAAGCATTTTCTTTCCACTTGAGCCCTTGATATCAGCTCCTCATTTCCCCCCTCCCCCCCTCCTTCCTCATGAACCCTTGATAAATTATAAATTATTATTTTCATATCTTACATCGTCCTCTGTCTCCCTTCACCCACTTTTCTGTTGTTCGTCCCCCTGGGGAGGGGTTATATGTCAATCCCTGTGATCAATTCTCCCTTTCTACCCCCATCTTTCACTTATCCTGCTGGTAACTCTCTTCTCATTTATTGGTCCTAAGGGGTTTATCTGTCCTGGTGGAATTCCTATTCTTCTCTATAGTTTGTTGTGATCTACATAGTTGAATGTCATTGTATAGTCAATAAAACATAACTAAACATCTTTCTATGATCTATCTGACATCAGCAATGATATC